CCAAAAAAAAAAAAAAAAAAGAAGACAGGAGAGATAAAGTGTTGAACTACCAGTATGGAAAAAACTAATACTGTAGGATTCTATAATTTCCAGAAAATATTATTTTATTAACTAGTATATTCAAGTGTTATAGTGTCTGTCTTTTGGGAGCTACATTGTTAGATATGTTAACTCAGAAAGTGAGTAAAATAGCCAAAATGAGGGTATAGTGACTCATTTAAAAAATAAATTAGGCTTTTTTTCCTTCTAATAATAATTTGGAGATTTAGCTTTACTTTGAGATGCTTTTTGGATTGTTTGAAATGTAAAGCATTCTGAAGCTATTTTGGGTAATACCTATTATAATACACCTATAATTAGTTTAAGTGAAGACTTCCATTTAAAAAAATTTTTTTTTTTTTTTAATAATTGTAGTAGTGTATCATAGAGAATTTAGAGAAGACAGAAAGGGTAGGAAGTGTCTGTTATACCACTGTGTAATAGCCATTTGTTTCTAGTCTGTTTTTCATGATATATTTTTTTCAAAAATTATATATGTATACATAAACACACAAAAACATACGTATATACACACATATGGTTTTATATCCTACTTGAAATTTGCATTTTTAATTGCTTATTTTTGACATGCATATAAATTTTAAAGTGTGAATATGTGACAGTGTCTTTGAACTAATTTGAATGTATAGCTACATAGTATATGCCTGGCAGTTTTCAAAAAAATTTTTTTTCCCATTTTTATTTTTCAAGTAGTTGGAAAATTTAAAAGATTGTGATTTGTAAAGTAAGCTGATGACCCGGAAGTTCAAGATAAACTATTTTTTTCACTTTGAAATTATTTAGGGCAAGGCTTTTAGTGTTATCGTACTTCAGCTTCTTTGCCAAATTTTGCATGAGTATAGGGATTGTTTCTTCTTCATTGCTGTAATGCCTGATTTGAATAGTGTATGGCATGTAGTGAGTACAAACTCAGTAAATATTTGGTGAAGGAATTAATTGCTTTTACTTACTCAGGAGAATGATTTACTTACTTGGGATTTTTTTTTTTTTCATGCCTTTACTCTGGAAGTAACTGCTGGGAAAATAGGTTATTTTCAAGTGTTAATGCTACAACATAATTATTGATGAAATTGGGTGAAAAGGCACTTAGTCTGAGTTCTTGGTTTTAATATGGTCATATCATGTTCTAATCATTATTTGCTCTTAGATCCATATATGAAACATACATTCTCCTTTATAGCCTTCTTGAATTCCATGATGACATAGTATATAGATATAAACATGTGCTGTTATTTTATGTTTTATGTATCCCTCTGAATGCTGTGAACAAAACTGGACCTTTTAGCATGTTTCAAATATATTATCTTAGCTACTTGTTTTAACGGTTCTTCAAACCTCACGTTCAAATTGATGACTGAAAATTTTAACAGCAAAGAATGCCCACTACATATCAGGTATAGTGTAAGGCACTTTACATTACCTCTAATCCTCTTACCAAAACCTTGAGAGTTAAATATCGGTTCTGTTTACATATGAAGAAGCTGAAGCTGAAAGAGATAGCTTATCAAGGGTCACATAGCTAGTAGCTAAGATTCTAAACCAAGTCTGACTGATTGCAAGGTGTGCTTTCTCTCTCATGCTGCCACTGAAGCAGCACTTTCATGCTTTTATGATAGTCACCTATGGTAAGAAATTCAATTTATATTACAGTCTAGTACAAACATAGATACAGATGTGTACAGCTGTCCCTTGAATTTCACAAGCTCACTTTACACCACATTGGGAGGTGGTGTCCACCAGAGCAGAGAGCTCCTTCCCTGGGAACTACACACAGCATCTCGGCAGAAAGCTGCCATAGCTTTGAACTGTGTCTCTGAGCATCTGTGCTGTATTTATTTTGTGCATCCGTTAACAAGATGTGTCTAAAGTAGTTACTTCTTCAATTTACACCACTTCAGCTTAAGAAAGAAAGGTTTCATAGGATTGCTCTACTTTCGAATAGTGGGGGGAACTTGTAACTGATACAGAAGTTTTATGAAATAACACCTTTTCTGCTCTTGCTATATTTCATTTTTTTCAGTGTTGACCATAATACACTAAATTTATTGGCTTAGACCTGTAGTTTGAAAATTACTTCATTAAAAGATAGCATGGCTTAGTTAACTTATTTATCGATAAATTTGCAGCAGGATAATATTTTATAGTGATTGGCTAAGAGAAATGAATAAACAGCTTTGATCTTTTATGGTGTTAAATAGAATTTTTCTTATCCTCACTGATAGAAGGTGAATGTGGCAAGATGGGTGAACTGAGCCCAGTTTCTAATGGGTGTGTCTGTATTAGCACCACTATCTTTAAAATTTTCCTGTGTGGACTAGACTTAGATGTTAGTTTTATAAAGGTCCACGTTTATTCATTTGCAACAAGAATTCACAGATTCTGCAAGTTTATTGAGTATATGCTATATACTCAATTATTTCTTTGTTTTTTTTAGTTTCAGGTTGAGGTATGTAAGTGAAGGAGAATGAGAAATGTACCCCAATACCATGGAGCCATCCTTAGCCTTTGGAACTATTTATAAAAATGAAATCATTTCCTCTCTATATCATTACAATTATTTTCACATCCAGGGCTCTTACATTGTTTCTTTTCCTAATTTGTAGAGGTTCTAGAAAGAGGGAAAGAAAAAAAAACCTGAACTTAAGGTTTTATAATGAAAACACTTTGTGCATAACTGTACTTCTGCTTATCCATTGGTTTAATACAGTGCCTCTCAAACTTAGCCTGGTTGGCTCGCATTTAAGAATTATGTAACAAATTCTAAAACTCACCATGAGACAAAATTGCTGAAATCACAGTTTGAGTGTAACAGACAGTAAATTGAACTTGGGTAGGCAGTATAATTAGTGCAGAAGTAACGTGAGTTACCAAATTGAAGATAAAAATTGGTTTTAGGCTTAACTCTTTTTTTTCATTTTTTAAAAATGGCTGAATCTATTCTTTTAAAAAGCAATTTTTATTCTTCTTTTTTTCCTTTTTCCCCATTCTAGCCATCTTCTTTCAAGTTTACTCTGTAAGTTGGTAGTACCATTTCTGAACTGAGGTGCTTTGCTGTCTTAAAGCACCTACTGTGAATGAAATTGACAAGGAACATGTGACCTCAGTCAATTTTGTTCTCGGCAGGTAAAAGAACTTCTCATGGCAGGATGTGGTGCCCACAGATACACTCCTGGAAAAGTTACTTTCTTCTCTTTTAAAAGTTTTTAACTCTTTTGAAAATGGCGTTATTTTTTTCTTATTCACCTCGTCAGTATGGATTTTTTTTGTTGTTGTAAGTTTTAGACACAGATGTTTAAAGAGGAAGAAATTCCAAAGTTTAATCATCTTGTTTACACCTGAGGAAACTGAGACCCCAGGAAGTTCATTGATGACCCTATGGTCACAATATAAGAGAATATCAGACTACAGCCAGAACCTGGTTTTTGATTTCCAGTGAAGTGCTATGTTTCTCATATCATTCCACTTCCTTATCTTTGTGGAGTTTTGTAATTATTTTTGGTGTTGATTTAGTAGTCAGATATTCTTCCTCAGGTACGTGTTGATCAGCATTTATAATGTGTAGAAAAATGTTATATGTAAAATAGCTCTTAATTTTTTTATTGCATGATCTTAACATCTGGAATGCACACTTCCCAAGTAGACTAAATCTGTGGGCCTTCTGGTTTAATAGTACCCTTGTTTAAAATGGATTTTTAAAAAAAATCCTGGAATAAATAACACATGTAATAAATTAGTTTTAACCCTCAGAGAATCTGTGAGAATATAAAAATAATTGAAAATTGAAGCATTTATTCGTAACCTTGATTGAAAGACTTTAATCAGCATATCTGAAATTGTGGCCTCAGAAAAATGTAATATTTATGAGATCACAGATAACAGGATCTGTGTTAATGATGCCAATACTGCCTAAATAAAATCTGAATTTTACATAAAAAGAGACAATGTAGAGAGACAAATTCTGTGTTAAAGTAAATGTTATGTATAATTAAAGTATTACTCCCTTTTTATTTATCTTCCAAATTAGCATTAGATCTATATTCAAAATATTTCCCAATTAAAATTTTCCCTTGTTGAAGATCTAAATTATTAAGGAAATCCAAGTGACCTTGCATCTGATTCTGGGTGTTTAAAAAAATTAAAAAAAATAAAAAATAAATAAAAAATAAAAATAAAAAAAATAAAATAAAAGGAATGAATTCCATTGATACATTCATGAAGTTTTGTCCTAATATAAGATTTTTTTAATATTGATTTTAAAGAGTAAGGTATAAGAAAATGAAATTATGGACAAATGGATCGAAATGAAGTGATTCAAAAGGATGTGAATCCAGAAAAGAAAGGATTATTTTCAAAATATTAAAGGAAAATCATTCATATCTAACATGTATTTTTCAACTTATGATTGAAGCATTTCCCTCTAATATTCTCATTTTGTTTGTGAAGTTATTTATAAGTTGAATTTTTGTAAATTATATTTTTATATGCAACACATTTCCTGAGTTTTGGAACTCAGTGGCAACTTCCTTTGTATCATGAGAAATCAGACTACTCTGTAAATTAGAAATTCTTCGTAAGATATTAAAGTATCTTAAAATACAGTACACCAGTATGATGAAACTAGTTAATAAATTTATAGACAACAAATGTATTTCCTAAACGACATTAATGCCCCGATGATGAGATTTATTTTTGACCTCATACTGAGCATTAATTGTGATAAGTGATAGAATAAAGAGTATCAGTGTTTAGTGAGGATTTTCTAGGATCTTTCATATTACCTGTTAAATATGTTGTAATATTTTAAAGTAATTCAAAGCATGTTTTGTGGCTTATTCTTAGATGTCTCTTAAATGTATTGTGACATACAGATGAGAAAACTTGCTCTGAAGACTCCTTCCTTCAGCTTAACAAAAGCCACCCATTTCACAGATGATTTAACTTTGATTAACCTACTCCACTGTAACAGATTATTCCAACAACTGGAATTTCATTCTTTGGTGTTATTTCTAGGTGCAGCTTAATTTACAAAACTGCTTTTCTTTCCGTCTCACCAAAATACATCACAATTTTGATGTGAACTCAGTAAAAGTTCAGTGGTTCATTAAACCTAGTCTTAGCATTCATTGACAAGAGATTTGTCATTTTAAAAGTAACTGCTACTTTTATGCATTCTTTACTGCTCAGTTTATAACCTTAGATTCCCTGTCAGAGAAAGCATGGAGTTAACCACTTAGCATATTGCGATGAATATTCATCAATAAATTGATGTGACATGGCAGTCCCATTTTTCAGTCTTCCTGCATTGTTGCAGTCTTTTTTAGTTTTAAATATAGATAATCATGTAATAGGGACTAGCCTAGAAAATCTTTAGAATTGTAATACTATATTTTTGGTCTAATAATATAGTATTATTAACATAATACTATATGTTAATAGGTTTTTAGTAACTAATTGTATTAGTTTTTAATAAGAGAAGTGTATTTGTTTCAGAGGAACAGTCTCTAATCTGATGTTACTGATGTTAGGCATTTTTTGCCAAATATTTGGTATATATAGATAATCAGCTTTATAATAAAAATACTGTTTTGTACTTTTAAAGAACAGATCATTTTTGTAATGTTCCTGGAATTTTTATTTAGCTTAGTCATTTTTATGAAGCTTGGGTTTATCATAGTTTTTAATCAGTTTTTAATTCATCTAGAAAGAGAGCTATATACATTCATTCTAAAATAAAATCCTGAAAACAAGTATTTAAATAGATTATACTCATTCAAACACAACTAAAGTAATCTATATGGGCAAGTTAGCATGGCAAATGCCATAAAGTAGGCAGATACAGATCACTGTTTACCATACTTCATCTACATTTTAAATTTTAAAAGGAAAAGAGTGTCTATAAGCACGATCTTTTCTGTTAAATATATAGATTATGAGGTCACTTAGCACTGAAGTACCGACCATATGCATTATGACAGGAATTTGACACCTGTCATTGGAAATGGTACTTGGAAACCATATAATGCAACAAAGTTGAGGGAGGGAAATATGATGTGGATAGGAGGCTGTAATTTATAATTCACAGTGCTTAAGAATGACTTGTCCAGGGTGACTCAGATTCCCTATCTTTGATTTTAGGATTTACATACAGTGAACCCTACTAGTCAACAAAATGGATTAAGATAACTGACAGTATTAGCAGAAAATACATATTTTCAGACTTAATTTTCTTATAGATAATTTATAAATTTATTTATTTTTGGCTGTGTTGGGTCTTCGTTGCTGCGCGCGGGCTTCCTCTAGTTGTGGCGAGTGGGGCTACTCCTCGTTGCGGTGCATGGGCTTCTCATTGCGGTGGCTTCTCTTGCTGCAGAGTATGGGCTCTAGGCGCACAGGCTCAGTAGTTGTGGTGCACAGGCTTAGTTGCTCCACGGCATGTGGGATCTTCCTGGACCAGGGCTCGAACCCGTGTCCCCTGCCTTGGCAGGTGGATTCTTAACCACTGCACCATCAGGGAAGTCCCCAGACTTAATTTTTAATTGAAGTAAATATCCTGTTATTCTAAAAGTCAACTTATAAGTACAATTAAATTATTTTATTACATTACACTGGCAAGTGACTTTATGTTAGAATTTCATTGTAATGTTGGAGCAGTACATTATAGAAGAATTGTTACCAGTTACACTATTTTCAGATTAATAATCCGTTGTATATGAGAATTCATCTAAAAAGGAGTACTGTCTTTCTGTTTTTCTATGTGATTATTTTGCCCCAAAAAAAAGCTTTCATTTTTTTAAGTAGCACAAAAGCTGTAATTGGCATGCTTTGTAAGGAAGTGTCAGTGTGCAAGAGAGTGGCGATCACTAAGAATTCTTTTACGTGTTCTTTCCCCTTTGCACCACCGCCTCCTCAGCGGGGTCACTGAGATCACTAGCTTTTCTTGAAATGGCCATTTTCACTGGCAGGTGCATTATACCCTGTATTTTCAGATTGTTTTTCCATTCTGAATGTTTGGCAGGTTGATTGCTCTGGCTGCATTGACGGAGAAAGGGCTGACAAATGCGGTTGGGCTGGCTGAAAAGACAGTGATTACTGTTTTCCTTTGTGGCTGATTGAGGCCCTTGAAAGGAAAAATTTTAACCTTCACCATTTGGTTCAAAAGTATGAGCATATATTGAAATCATTCGTGCCATTTATCCTAGTTCTGTAAACTTGTCAGAACGTAAAAATCGCTCAATTTCAAGCAATGTAGGATTGGCATACGTCATTATCATTTTGATTAAGTTGGAGGTTGTATCATTGTGTGCAGTATACAGTGTCATTTAAAGCTTTCTTTCCTACAGGTACAGTTACAATTTTATTGCTTATACTGTAGAGTTAGAAAGATTTTCATAGCTCTCCAAACCTAACACTATGTGTGTGGTTTGGCAGCTGGTGTGGCCTACAAGCTGCATTTTGTTTGCAGGGTAAAGGCTTATCTGTAGGCCTCCTGGAGTGTGGGTAATTGCACAGGCTCGCCATTGGGGAGAGACAGGATTGGAAGCAGTCAAGCGGAAGAATGTTATGCCATCCCATTGCCACCTTGTAGCAGAAAGACACAATCCCAGCAGTGCCATCTGGTTGTTGCTATCTAGTCAGCTGGCCTGGCTGCTGGGACCATGACTTGGCAGCTGGTTCCCATCCTTGACTATTCTTTATGTCGTATGTATGCGTGTTTTAGATAATTTTGAACATAGGTCGGGGAAATGACTATAACTAACAAGTAAAGTCCCCTTACTGAATGGGCTCTTATTACTTGAGATGCGCTTTGCTGCAGACGCCTGCTGCCATTCCCTCATAGACAAATGACACATCTGTTTAGGCAATAAAAATAAGCATTTGCTTAATAAAAATCCATCTCAGTATGTAGTGAAAGAGAAGGTAGGCAGAGTTGTATGTTCTAGAACATTTTAAAATAAGTAATTTAAAGTTATTTCCTGGTTTGGGGGTATAAGGGGAGATTTAATAATTTTTAAAAGTCTTATAAACATTGTATATTATCTCAATATGTATTTTTATTCAAGTTAAGAAAATATTATGTTAAGTGCTTATTGCCACATCATGTAACAGTAGATAATGAGACTTGCATTTAAAATGACAGAATAGAAAATGTGGTCTCATAGCTATTATCTTTAAAATCTGCCTCTCAAATAGCAACCTGAGAGTTAATGTAAGCCGTCTTTATGCCATATGAAGACCCATTAGACACTGATGGTTTCAGATCACAAGTAAGCAGCCAGCTCTGTAGGCTATTTTAGACATTTGATTTTCTTCATTTTACAGCATTAATGTGTCAGCATGCTACATAAAACTATGTAGGAGTTGCATGTTGTTCTGTCTAGAATGATAAGTGCTTGCAAGCTTTTAGAGATTTCCATGAGGGACTCATCCTAGTTGCTTATATATCTTATTTCAGTTTATGTTGTTACAGAATTTGATATGACTATTGCTGAGTTACCACATAGGTATGTATAAAAACCAAGAAGTTTCACTTAATTCTTTTTTTAAAATTGTATTGATAAAATTTATATTGTTTGTACTCTTTTGCTTTTATCTAAAGAGTTGTGATACTTTCTGAAATAATTACCTCAAGAGTTAGCAGTTATTTTCATGAAAATAATTTTTGTGTTATTCTGTTTTTTCAGATGAAGAGGAAGAAGATGACGTAGTGACTCCTAAACCACCTATTGAACCTGAGGAAGAGAAAACTTTAAAGAAAGATGAAGAAAGTGAGAGTAAAGGTATCTTAAAGAATTCAACTTTAAAATAAAATAATTTAAAAATTTTTGTTGATTCCTGTTAAGACTGCTTTTATTATTTATATATTAAAGGAGAATAAAATGCTCTAAATCAAAGAGGTGAATCTGCTTGGAAAAAAATGAGTGGCATTCATTGACGCAAATTGTGATAGTGAGGTGACATGATTTGAGTGGCATAAATCCGACTTCAGAAAACTGTTTGTCTCACAGCCCCCCCGCACGAGCTGACTGAAGAAGAAAAGCAGCAAATCTTGCACTCTGAGGAGTTTTTAAGTTTCTTTGACCATTCTACAAGAATTGTAGAAAGAGCTCTTTCTGAGCAGATTAACATCTTCTTTGACTACAGTGGAAGAGATTTGGAAGACAAAGAAGGGTAATGTTTAATTGCTAAAATTATGGGTCCAGCAATGTTAAATTACTTTAAGATTAAGAGTGGGAAGTTATAACACAGTTGTTGGGTTTTTTTTTTTCGTCTTTTTCTGTAGAGAGATTCAAGCAGGTGCTAAACTGTCATTAAATCGACAATTTTTTGACGAACGTTGGTCAAAGCATCGGGTTGTTAGTTGTTTGGATTGGTCATCTCAGGTAAATTATAACATAATTGGTTGCTATTAACTTATTTTTGAATTCCAGTAAGCAGGTAGTTTTAATTGTGGAAACTTCGTTTAATTAAATCAGTGTATATTATTGAAAATTACAATGGATGATGGTTCTAAGGTTATGGTTGTCTTATGTACTTAGGAAGAAAGGATTGGAAACACTATATTTAAAAATCAAGAGTTTATTTATGCCACAGCCCAGTTTTACTAATTTTAATTGCTCACCAAATCCTTTGGATAGAATTGCAACACATATTTTAATAAAATATTTTAACATTAAAACATTTAAAATAACTAAACTAATTTAAAGTTTTACTAATGTTCCAGCAAGCATAACTCTAGAGATATATTTCTTGGTGAAGTGTTAGTAATTTGTATTTTCAGAATAATTTAATAATAACAGTTGAGTAACTAGGAAGGTAAAACAGTTCTCATTATGCATAGCGTTTTTTTCCCACTTGATTCTTGCGAGCAGTATCCAGAGTTACTTGTGGCTTCCTATAATAACAACGAAGATGCTCCTCATGAGCCTGATGGTGTGGCCCTTGTATGGAATATGAAATACAAAAAAACTACTCCAGAGTATGTGTTTCACTGCCAGGTAAGATGGTCTTTTAGCAGTCTTTCCCAAGTTTAAGAATTCACTAATGAATTTAGACAAGTGCCTTTCTTCTTTTCTTGTCAACATAATGATTTCATTGGATTGGCATTTACTAAACCACCCCATATTTGCAAACAGATGTTAACGAAAAACTGAAGACTTCTCAGTTCAACATGATCTGTGTTTTCTAGCTTTTCTGACATCTCTTATGTTTAATCACACCTAAAGTCCTTTGCAGTTGTGATTTTCTGTTATTGTGATTGATCGTATAAAAGGAATCTTTCATAAAATGTCTTTTCTACAGGGAGTTTCTCAGGAACTTATTTGCTGAATATACAATTAGATGGTTGGCCCACTGAATTACTTATACATGGCCTGAGGAGTTGGAACTAGATAGTTTTAAGTAGAAACATATGTTTGAAGTAGGAAACAGATGCAGATTTTTAAAGTGGATTTAGTGGGAGGTTAGAATTTGCAAGCCTTTCTGGTTGCATAAGTTATAATCTTTTAATAATATCATAATTCTGCAAAAACACTTAACTGAATCAAAACTAGCATATACTCTGTTGTCAGATTACTGTCAGAAGCTAAAGTAGAGCCAGTTATCTTCTGATTTAATGATGTAATCAAATTAAATAATTTTTGCTTTCTTCGATAAATTGCTTAAACATTTCTGTAAACAATCATTACATTTGACTTTTAAGCAAAACTATTCTAAAGCTGTATCTTATGTTCTAAAGCAAAATGAAATTTTTAAGTATATTTATTTACTGGTTTTTTATAATCTCTGATACTTTACAATAAAGGGGAAAATGTTTTGGATATAGATTTATTTTTATAACTTGTCATGCTTCTTCCATTTGAACCTTAAATATAAAAATCTTGCTATTTGCAGTCAGCCGTTATGTCTGCTACATTTGCAAAATTTCATCCAAATCTGGTTGTTGGTGGTACATATTCAGGCCAGATTGTGCTGTGGGATAACCGTAGCAATAAAAGAACTCCAGTGCAAAGAACTCCACTGTCAGCTGCAGCACACACAGTAAGTAAAGGGGTTATTTCCATTAGATTTCTGTCTTCTTTCACCATTAAATACTTAGTAGTGTCCATCAGAGTAGTCTCAAAATGTGTTTCCTTTGATGTGTGAATTTCTCATCATTTAGCAACCAAAATTGAAGGCTTTTTTTTTTCTTTGTATATTTGGAAATCTATTTTATTAGAAACTCATCTCTCTTCTGAGATAATGTTTTGCTAATCTACGAAATAGCATCGAATTTCACATTAAAAATGCCGTCAAGATATGAGACTGGATATGAAACAGAATACCTGTGCTTATACAGTAAAAATTATTTCATTTTTTTTTTGGTCAAATAATCCCAGAAAACTTTAATATCTCTTTCTTTAGCATCCTGTATATTGTGTAAATGTTGTTGGAACACAGAACGCTCACAATCTGATTAGTATCTCTACTGATGGAAAAATTTGTTCATGGAGTCTGGACATGCTTTCCCATCCACAGGTAGGTTAAACTTGGAAAGCTCTGAAATTTTGAGGCAAATATTGGTATTTTTTTTAAGTCTATGTAAACCGTAGCTTATGTTTTTCATGAATGTTTTATAATAGTATTATAGTAATAGTTTATAAATCTAAACATGTATAAATGTAGTTTGTGGTGTATATACTTCATTTTCAAACCTGCTTCATTTAATCAAACTAAATTTATATAAGTAGTATAGTAAAATAATTGTTTACAAACTAATTAAGACTAGAAAATTTTCTTTAAAAAATTAAAAATGATAAGTTTACAAAATAATTTACTCAATTTTTTCTGTGTAGGATAGCATGGAATTGGTTCATAAACAGTCAAAGGCAGTCGCTGTGACATCTATGTCCTTCCCTGTTGGAGATGTCAACAACTTCGTTGTTGGGAGTGAAGAAGGTTCTGTGTACACAGCATGCCGCCATGGCAGGTAAATCTAAACTGGAATTTACAATTATTTAAAATTCTCTCTTGAATAATCATATTAAAACAAATTGCCTCTTATTCAAGTAGAAATCTGTCCTAGAGCCACTCGTTATTTGTGACAAATTATTTAAATTCAGGTATATAAAATTAAAACTTAAATACTTTTTTAAAATAAAAGGTTATTTTGGATCATGATGTGTTCTGGATTTTGAGGGTTGTGGTGTGTTGTGATTTTTGTACGTGTGGATGTGCTCACAAAAGTTAGTGGTAGGAAGTAGCATTCAGCAATTACAAATACAAAATGCACATGCCACATACTGACCTTTAAAGTTGTAAATAAGATTTTCAGCTGTTTTTCCATCTTGATTTATTTGGACTTTGAGCCTTAGTTCAGTCCTCCTGATAATCGCACAGTAATGTCACATACACGTTTTAAATTGACTAGTATTTCTCCTGCTCTTCAACCTGTTTTGAAATTGTCTAGCTGTACCTTATCAATTGCTTCCTTTAAAAAAAAACTGAGTGTCCAGATTTCATCTCAGGTACAGAACACCTTCACTTCAAAGCTTTTGATTTAAAAGTAGCCCAGATTCTCTCTCTTACATGTAGCATTCATTTGTCTCTATTCCACCACCTCAGAACCTCAGATATTGGACTTTTGATTTCTGTCATCAATAGCATGATGTTTATGGTTCCAAAATGTACTTAACCACTTTAGTAGCCTTATCAAATCTGGATAGGTAACACTCAACATAATTATTCTTATGTGTTACGAGCACAGAGTTAAGTTTGTTGAAATTATGTCAAAGTGTAATAAATAAACCCATGATAACATATATTTATAAGTGCTCAACTTACAAGAGATTTCCCTATTTTCACTCTTAATGAAACAGCAAAGCTGGAATCAGTGAGATGTTCGAGGGACATCAAGGACCAATTACTGGCATTCATTGTCATGCAGCTGTTGGAGCAGTGGACTTCTCACATCTTTTTGTCACTTCATCATTTGACTGGACAGTAAAACTTTGGACAACTAAGGTATCTAAAAACAGATGTCTAGTCAAGTACTCAGGTTTCTGACACAAGGTGGTGCTCTATTACTACATGGGAAAGACAAAAAGCCTCCTAATAGCTTAGAATGATTTACTGATAGATCAAACCTAATAAGTTACATAGAACATGAGTGAACAACTAGATGTTGAAGTTTTCTTAAAAGTATGCTGACAAGTGTGGTAATCCCACACATGACCCAAGACCAATTTTCCCACCACTTCAGGCTTTTCAAGCACAGAACTGCTTACCCTGAACTGAGTTGGAGGAAAAGCCGCTGAGGTTCTCACATGGCACTCACGTAGCTGCCCTGTAGCCCAACACAAAAGCTGTGCATTTGCTCTTTGAAGAGCTTTTAGAGGCTGTTCAGAACTGCATTGGCTCACAGAGCTGATGGAAACCGGAGAAAAGAGATAAAACCTGAGGTGCAGTAAGTCTTATACAGTGAGACTATACATCATAAACTGGAATCATTAAGAAAGTATTGTGTAAATACTTCTGTGTAAATATATATGGATGCATGTATATTTTTGTTTTCTGCAATACATAATTTAAATAGTTTGTTTGGGTTTTAATAAGCTTTGAAAAACCATTTATGTTATAAAGTGCTTCCGATACTACAGCAATTCCAGATAGATGTGACATTGCCATGCCTCATTGAAAGTCTCAAGGCAAATCCAGGTAGGGAACATTTCTTCCTGTGATAGGCCTTGTAGTTTCATTTGACTCCATTTAAAAATTAAAGTGCCTTGACTTTTTTGTCTGGCTTTTCTGCAGTATCACATTGCTGCTGGCAAAGCTGCATACTTGAAATATCAGATTCTATTTAAATTAAGTTAAATTTTAAGCTGTGTTTTTTCATGTTTCCGTCTGCCTTATCCTAACTTTATTTGATTCTTTAATTTCTTTGAGAAAACCTAGTGGTCCTAAGAGATATTCTTCACTATTACAGTGGAACTCATTTATCAAATGCTGGCTTCAGAAATCAGGGATGAACTCACTATTCACTCTTGTCCTTTCTTGATGCTTTCTTAGCGAGTTAGAAAACTTTCTCTTAAAATTGAACGTTTTCAGGTTTGGGATTAATTAGCAGGCATAAAAATAGCATTTAAGTCTAATGAAGGAAAACATTAAATAGTGCTTAACACAGTGTCTAGCATGATAGGCACTTAACAATATTCATTCAGTTCCTCCTTTTCCTCTTCATGGAGATCAGACGCTCGGTTTGAATGCATATACTGTCAATCATCTGTTTTCTTTCCTGGATTGTTCTTGAATATTTTTTTTTTTTCGAATGAGATTTATACAGTGGCAAAAGGTAGAGGTAGAAGATTCTCACAGTCACCAGCAAAGAAACGCATAATCCAGCTAGTAAAACCAAAGCAAGATGCAGAATTGGAAAGATGAAGCCAACTCTCTCTCTCTAGGCTGTAGGCAGCTACGTAAGTGGCTAGATTTCTGGTTATGCTTTCACCTGAGTAGTCCTTTATAGAGACACAGGAAATGTTACATCTTTCTTAGATTTTTGGCCAGCTTCCTTTTTCAGTAATTGAAAAGAATCTTTTATCTATTTGTAGATTTATTATTTTTAATATCTCAGGGCTTCAGTTTACCATCCTTCTTTTATCTTTAAATATGAGGCTTCCATTCTTACATATATTACCAAATAGGACTGGAAAATGAAGACTTCATCTTGCCTAAGCAAGAACAGAACTTATATTTATGATAGCAGACTGATTGATGCTTGCTTTTGTGGTACTACACAGCTGGTTGATTGGTGGTTGATATTTTTTGTTCCTGTATTTTGCTGTATTTCAACATAGAACTGCCTGCTGAATAAGAATGACAGCCAGGCATATCTCTTTCTTTGCTAATTGAGCTAGGCATTGCTTCCTTATGTGAGCTTCATATAGAAAACTCATTTATTCATTCAACTGTGATACATGGCTCTCCACTCCCCGGCCCCCCATGCATACATACCTCTCCAATGTTAGTGGCCAAAGGATAGGACAACACAGAACAGGGTGTTCTTATAGAATAGTAAGTACCCTGTAGAACTTTATCAGAAGATTTACCTTTTATTCTGACTTATCTTCACACAAATAGTTCTACTCTATGAAGGGTGGAGCAGCAACAGTCTGCTGAGTATTTTTTTTATTTGGCCACATTATGGCTCCCAAGGTCATTGTTTTGATCTTGGATTTATACTTCATAGTTAATTGTGTTGCTGGTATTCATTTTTTCCCTGAAAACTTGGTAGAGACTCTGTGCTCTCCAACACAATGATAATGAATAATGGGCAAGGTTTTAAAATAATCTCTTCTTAAAGACATTGTTCCAGTTCCATTTTAAGCTTTTTACACCAGTATCTTCACATTCATGAATTTAACAGACTTTAAATGTTTTTCTTTGCCTTTACTTTTTAAGTGTTTTCTGACTCTAGGAATTGAGCCCCCATAAACTGGGAGAACGAATCGTTAGATATTGCTGTGTCTTTGTATCCTTTAAGATCTGTCTCTGCCCCAATAGCGAAACAAGATTCTTTCTTTTTCTCCTTTTCTATAAGTCCTCTAAAAAATCCCTAGAAATCTCAATTTGTTACTGCCTCAAATTTAGTTTCAAGTAATCTACTTCTGTCATCTGCTTCTAATTTTTGCAGAGTCAGGAATTTTAATGTAGTGACAGAGTTCTGGATCATCAAATTGTTTACTTTTTTGAACTCAGTTATTTTTAGTAAAGAAGATGAAGATAGATTGTTTTCCACATTTTGGTGAAGGTTAATTTAAACGAGCCAGGACATTGCTTCTAATATATTTGAAGGACACTGTTAACTTTTTAAAATACCAGATTTGAAAATTCACAACAGAAACACTTTGGAAGTCCTGAAAAATGGTAGCAAGAATATGTGAGGAGTAGAAGCTTCTTGAAGGTAACTTGAGGATTCCATAAGCACTTGATTAGGGATAGACCTGATAAATGAGCTTAATATTCCGACCACATTTAACCATACTTGTTACAGATTACTCTCAAAATATAGTAATTATTTATTTGGAGGGCAAAATGTTTTAATGTATGCACAGTATATTCCAGGCTCAACACTTATTTGAAAAGCTTTAACCTTTTTAACTATTAGAAAATACCATAGTAACTTGTTGGCCAGTGTCCAGCCTGTCCTTTGCATAGTCAGAAACTCAATTTTGTCAGTCTACTAGATTTGATTAGCTATGGTGTGCTGACTAGAACTCACAGGCTTCTAAGACACTGATGCATTGGAGAAGGTCAATTTATTAATTTACAATGAGAAACAACTGCCAGAAGGCCTAAATACTCATGCTCGCCTGACCAGCTCATTGCTTCCCTGTAGACAACCCACACGGGAAGCCAAATTATAATCAGAAGGTTGCTTGGTTAGCAAGGAATTGGAACAAAAGATTTCTGATTTGAATGTTTAGTGGCATCAAGCAAAGACAGCATGATTCATTCATCTTCACATAGAGGTAACCCTGCCATGGGTGGTAATCCTCAGGATCCATTGACTGAGATGCTGTCTCCTGAGCAGTGCTTGAATTGGGCAGTCTTCATTTTTCTTATAAGACTGCTTCTGTATATTTCCATTGCTTTTAATAGACACATTCCTTCTGAAAAAGTTAGTATCTTCCATCAGGTTATATAGGAAGGTATTTCCGCCCTTAGAATTGTTTCTTTTTAATGAGAATCTGTTTATTTCTGTGCCGATCCAAGTGAGGACATACTCACTTCCCATTTCTCTGGAGAGCACCTCACTGTTATGTTCATGGATTTACTATAGGGACTCTTTTGGTTATTAGTCTAGAACTCCCCAGTTACCCCAGAAAAATACAGAATTACTGTATTAGTTTCCTGGGGCTGCTGTAACAAATTGCCACAAACTGGGTAACTTGAAATAACAGAAAGTTATTCTCTCACAAGAGGCTAGAAGTCTGAAATCAAGGTGTTAGCAAGGTTGGTTACTTTTGGAGGCTCTAAGGAAGAATCTGTTCCTCTTTCCATGCCTCTTTTCTAGTTTTTGGTGGTTGCCAGCAATCTTGTGCTTTTTGGCTTCCAGCTGCATCACTCCAGTTTCTGCCTCTGTCATTGCATGGAGCTTTTCCTACTTGCCTCTGTCCAAATTTCTCTCTTCTTTTAAGACAACAGTCGTGCTAGATTTAGGGCCTACTCTAAGCAGTATAACCTCAGCTTAATTACATCTGCAAAGACCCTTTTTCCAATATCGACACATTTACAGGTTCCACATAGACTTGAATTTGGCAGGGGGCTGGGAGTGGGGGAACACTATTTAACCCATTACTGTAAAGAGCTCAGAAAAAAATATGGTTTGTCCCTTGACCATACAGTGTTTATTTATTTATTCACTGTACTAGAATGAGTTACCTTTGATTATTCAAATGCTATCTATTGTTCAAAGAATGATACATTCTTTTGATTCATTCTTTTGAAAAATATGTTTGCAAACCTTTTGTTTATAAGAATTTTAGAGCTGCAGTGACCTTTAGACATCATGTAGTTCAGTAATTCTCAGTTTTGGTCACATTAGAATCACCTTGGCAATTTTTAAAAATTCTAGTGCTCACCTGGCACCCCAGACTGATTAAATCATAATATCTAAAGAGACTCAGGCAACAGCATAATTTTGAAAATCCCTCCAGGGTTAGCGGGATTACAATGTATAGTCAAGGTTCAGAACCACTGATAACCTTTGTTTTGTAAATAAGGAAATAGGGGCCTGGAATGATGAAGTGACTTCTCCAAAGCCTTAAAACTAGTTATTGGTAGCCCTGAGATAAGAGTTTATATCTTACGCCTCTCTTCAGCTCTTTCCTGCTGCCTCTCTTCCATTTAGGCAGAAGTTCTCTTCAAGTTAAGAAAAAGTATTACTATTAAAAAGTACTTCAAATGATCCATTTGGGATTTTAATTTGCAGTATCATATATAAAATTAATATATTATGAAACAGTTTTGGTGTTGTATGTGTGCTTTCTTTCTCTTTGAGGGGGAAGAATTGTTAATCCTTGGATGACTGTGTTTTTTAAATTAAACTTGAAAAAAATTACAAAGGTTTCTAATTACATTTAAAATTTGGGAACATGTTGCCATTTATTGTATTTTTATTTTTAATATAATCTTTTACCCAGTTATAATGCATCCTGCTTTTTGCCTCTGGCTGCATCACAGTTCACCTAATAGATGAAATATTTAATAATTTCCTGAGCTATTCAGCAATCTTCTTTTTCACTTGAGATATAATTTTATGTAAGTTTTAATCTAATTTGTATATAACATTTTTCATATTTTATAAAAAATGGAATCATATGTACTTATTTATATCTGGCTTCTTTTGTTCAACATTATATTTGTGAGAGTCATTCCATATTGTTGAAAGTAGTTATAGATTGTTTATTCTCTCAGATATATACTATTCCCTTATGTAAATATACCATAATTTGTCCATTCTTCTGCTGATGGTATTTGGGTTGATTGTAGTTTGGGGTTGTTATGGATAATGCTGCTGTGAGCATAGTTGTAGGTGTCTTTTGATGGCCACAAGCGCTCATTTCTGTTGGGCATATACTTAGGAGGGAAGTACTTGGCCATAAGGTACACATGCACTCTGCTTTAGTTGATACTGCCAAGCAAATTTCTAAAATAGTTTTACCAGTTTATAATTCACCAGTGGCATATGAAAGTTTTCCTTGCTTACCTTGCTGACACTTGGTATTTTCTGCCTTTTTTTTCATTTTAATTACTCTGATGGGTATAGTTGTATTGCAGTTTGGTTTTCATTGGTATTACTTTGAGACTGAAGAGGTTATCTTAAGCTCCTTTCCATGTGTTTATTGGCCATTTCTTGAAGTGCCTGTTTAAGTCTGCCCATTTTTCTGATAATCCCTTCTTTAAAAATAAAACATTAATTTAAAAAATCTTGTAGACCAATACAGATTCTTATAGAGTCGAGCATGTGCACATGACTGTGAACAACTTCTCTTTTAAGTCTTCGATGAGAGACCATAAAATTGCCTAAAATTGGGATTTTCTTGAAGAAGTATACAATTGCCTCAGGATTTACAGGTCTTAAAACAGTGTTTCTTAATCGTTGTTGTGCATCAGAATCTCTAGTGGAGCAACACCAAAAAGACTGATGAAGTACATTGAGGGTGGGGCCCTGCATCTGGAGTTTTTAAAAACTCTGCAGATGATTGTGATACTCATCCCAAGTTGAAAACTACCTCAGAGGGAGACTTCACTTGGCATTGTTGCCAAGGAGAGTTATAGGAAAATAATGATCTTAAGAAGGAAAAAAAACCTCTTAGTTTCTGTTTTTAGCTTACTTATAAGTTTTGTTAAAATTTTTGTTTTCTTAATTACAAACAGACATTTTTGGCTATTAAGATAATCATGCAGTTGACATTTACTGTGAAAATTTTTAATTTATAATTTTAAACTTTTTATTATAGAAAATTCCCACTAGATTCAAAAGCAGAAAGAGGAGTATAACAAAACCATTGTACTCATTTTTGTTGGTTATTGTCTAGTAGTGAAATGAGTTTTTCTCTACATTTAAGAGGAAGGGAATGGCAAGGTTAGCTTTTCTGGTTTCATAGTCTAGGTTAAAGCTCTTCTGGGTTTTTTGCAAAGTGGGTATATATCCCTCTATCTTGTACTTTCTGAAATGTACCTTTTACCGTTCCTCTCCACCACCTTTATCTGAACCTTCTCTTTGCTTTGTCCCTATTGTGCCATATTCCACAACTTGGATTCTATTCCTGGCAGTTTCTTTTTGGTGAGACTGTCTTGAAAAGGGAGCTTTGATTTGTTAATTTTCCAAGTTTATCAGGCTCAGACTGCATCGTTAGACCTTACTTATACCACACTGGAGTCTGCCTGCAATTATTTATAAATCGAATTCTGTTGAACTCCCTCCCAGTCTCTGCTCCTGCTCTCAGACTGACCCCCACACTGTACAGTGAGCACCCGCTGTGGACTGTGAGGCTCTTCTATTCTCCAGCTGTCAGAAGCCCTCGTGCCTTCCCATACTTCTTCCCGTACAGATGTACTGTGCAGATCTCATAGTAGTCCAAGTATTGTTTCCACCTGCTTACATTTGGATCTTTGTCTCCTGATTTTGTTGTAGATGTTGTCTGTGAATCTTTGGTTTTGCTATCCTCATTGCTTTGTCTGGGTTTATGGGGAGATTTAGAGGAGATTCAAAAAGTACACTGCCATTGCTCCCATCTTTCCAGAATCCTCTCATTGAAATGTTTTTAAAGCACATTCTCTTCCTTTTTTAAAACAGTATGGTGTCTACAAGTTAAACAGAAAATGCAATCCAGTCATTGATTTTGTTTTTTAATTAATTTATTTAATTTATTTATTTTTGGCTGTGTTGGGTCTTTGTTGCTGCGCGCAGGCTTTCTCTAGTTGCAGTGAGCGGGGGCTCCTCTTCGTTGCAGTGCATGGGCTTCTCATTGCGGTGGCTTCTCTTGTTACGGAACATGGGCTCTAGGCTCATGGGCTTCAGTAGTTGTGGCTCACAGGCTCTAGAGCACAGGCTTAGTAGTTGTGGCACACGGGCTTAGCTGCTTCGCGGCATGTGGGATCTTCCCAGGCCAGTGATCGAACCTATGTCCCCTGCATTAGCAGGCAGATTTTTAACCACTGCGCCACCAGGGAACCACAGTCATTGATTCTTAGTTCATAACTCCAGGTAATTCTTTAGTGAAACAAATTATAGGAACTTTTTCTAGGCTGAGTTAAGTATCATAAAATGTTATCATACCTGTTGAATGTATGTCATATTTTGACTGTGCTAAAAATCAACTTTTCCCTTTCAGAATAACAAGCCTTTGTACTCATTTGAAGATAATTCAGACTATGTTTATGATGTTATGTGGTCACCCACCCACCCAGCCCTGTTTGCCTGTGTGGATGGCATGGGTAGGCTGGATTTGTGGAATCTCAATAATGACACAGAGGTGAGCAGGAAAATAAGAAAAATTGCACTGAAAAATAGAAAATTGGAGATTTATTGAATAATTTGTGAAATTCCTTTTATCCCAAGAAATGTAAAAGGACTCTGTGATTGTAGCTTCATCACAAAGAAACCAAATAAGCTTTGTACCCTAAATAATAAACACCATGCTGTGCAGAACTGAAGGGAGAAATATTGTTGCCAAGAGGACTGGGGCATTTCCTTTTACTTCTAAATAGCACTATCCTGTCTCTAATGTCCTGACAAAGTCTCATTCATAAGGCAACTGGGATATTTTTGATTCATAGGCTAGAAAGCAGATAGTTTCAGATTGTTGACATATCTTAGCCTTAATTCTGAATTTCTAAATTTTCTCTTAGCCTTGATAGAATTGTATATTATCCATAAATATTAGTCTTAGGCTGACTTATTTGAATGAAGCAAAACGTATTTTGATGATTTGTTCCATGAAACACTGAAAACAGTGTTACTGTTACTATAAAATTAATATAGAAATCATCAAATTTCCTAACTGCTATACTAAAATGAGTTATTAGGAATGAAATTTAACTGCAGCTATTATTTATGTTTAACCAGGTTTATTTTTACCAATGTGGAGAGGCTTGAAGTGTTCTTAGAGTTCTGTATTGCTGTGTGGTGGTAAGAAGTAATGTTAGCAGTTCTGCCAATAAAAGTTTTTGAGGAGAAAGTCTCTTGGTGCCTTCCCCCACAGCCCACTCTTTCCCACATCTCTTCATATTTCTAGTGGCAAGTGTCCAAAATCCCTTGAAGTAAATTAGTTGGTTATACAGGACAAGGAAATTATAGAATTTTAACACTGTGCTAACTCGTGCTATAGTAGTTTGAAGAGGAACATTGAGATACTGCTAGGGAAAGGTATTGACTGGCTAGATGACTGGACTTGATTATACATTTCTAGTTACTTCAAATGAGACCAGTTTTTTTTTCTTAATTTGGATTTTGGTGTTAGACATTTGTGGTCACAGTAAAATTTGGATCTTTTCTGTAATTTGCTAACTCAGAAAATATCTAAGTTATAATTTTTCTCTTAGAACAATTCTGGCACTCTAGAAGTTTAAATTAATCATTTGAGGATGACTCGTGTCAAATAGTAGGATTATTTTTTATTTATTTATTTATTTATTTTTTCCTTGCGTTATGCGGGCCTCTCACTGTTGTGGCCTCTCCCATTTGCGGAGCACAGGCTCCGGACGCGCAGGCTCAGTGGCCATGGCTCACGGGCCCAGCCGCTCCGCGGCATGTGGGATCTTCCCGAAACGGGGCACGAACCCGCGTCTCCTGCATCGGCAGGCGGACTCTCAAGCACTGCGCCACCAGGGAAGCCCAGGATTATTTTTAATCAGATTTCAAAAACTTAAAAATTATTGTGATACTGTTCTGAGTCAAACATTGAAGGTTTGCTCCATGCGTGGCAAATAATTTCTTTTTCCTTAGCACAGCAGAGGGTACAGTCAGATTCCAGGGGATGGTGCCACTGTGTTGGTGACATCATCCTGCCCTGCTCCAGACAGTTCATGGGAACAGGGGCTTTGGAAAGACCCATACTGCATCTTTAGTATGAACTGTTTCTGGCAACTGTGGATCAAATCACAGGTTTTAGCTAACAGAGATGCAAGCTACAAAAGTAATTCCTGTCCTCTAAAATTGAACCATAATCTGTTTATGAGGGCTTTTGAGATGTTTCTTTAAGTGAGGTTTTGGCCATCTGTTTTCAAATGCCTTGACTTCTTAAAGAAGTTAAAACAACAAAGAATCCTTTATTAAAGAGAAGATCTTTCAAAATGATGTATCCAGTCATGTGAAAATTTCTTATATAAGAACTTAAGTTATTTTCCCAAACCATTTTCAAGGATTGACTATAATGTCCTTCAGAATGTATCACTGAACAGGAAGAAAGTCAGGAAAATTCTCTATCTAGTTTCATATTTGTTTTTAAAAATGTAGCCAGATTGAAAGAAAGAAGAATTAGTTTTACATGTTTATAGAAGTCCTGATGAAACTTTTAACACTGCACTATATTTTAAATGACTTTAGGTGCCAACTGCCAGCATTTCTGTGGAGGGTAATCCTGCTCTTAATCGTGTAAGATGGACCCATTCTGGAAGAGAGATTGCCGTGGGTGATTCTGAAGGACAGATTGTTATATATGATGTGGGAGAGGTATGAGGCTCACTGCCTATAATTTTGACACATCTATTTAGCTTTCACAGCATTGCGGTGGCAGTATCTTTGTGGCAAAAACTAGTCTTTGAAGTTCATGAATTGATAAAACTTACTTTTCACTATAGAAGCAACTCTTGAGATTAATTTTCTTTCTAAACTGAATGTCCTGTGTCCCCATGCAGCAGATTTTGAGGGTAGTATCATATGTTGGAAGTACTTCAAGCATGCATTGCTGGAAATTAGAAATTCTTCAGGCAGAAGAAATTCAGAGTTATAGTTGGATTTGGGGGCTTTACAGAATTGTTATTGAGATAAGATTTTTTTTTCTGTATTCATAGATTTCTTTGGGCCAGGTAGTGGAAATCAAAAGTAGTATCTTTTAAGAGTTCTCTGGTAACTATGTGAAATGTCAATCTTGACTCCTTGAGCCTTGTTGCAAAGCCATTATTATTGAACCCAACAGGATGACTTGCAGCTCTCTCATCTTTACTGTTTGGGTTGACTGTACATGATGCTCAGGAGTGATTTCCTCATGTTTTAGTCCTGGCTAGCACCTTATTCACTCTTTCTTTTGCTATGCCTTATGATTCCCCATTCACTCTGGAAACCCCACAGCCTCTAGCAGTTAGATCTGGAGGGAGGTAGAGTGAATCATTTAGAACAGCCAGTTGAACTACTCTGTATCTGCACTATCCAACGTGGTAGCCACTGGCCACATTTGGCTATTGAACACTTAAAATGTGGCTAGAACAACTGAAGAACTGAATTTTTTATTTTATTTAATTTTAAGTAATTTAAATGTAAATAGTCACATTTGTCTGGTAGCTACCATATTGGGTATCACTGTCCAATCTAGTCTAAAGTCATACGGTAGATTTAGAAGCAGGCACATCCATTTGCCACACTGAATGTTTTGTGCCCTAATGTGGCATGCCAGATTCCTCAAATATTATAATGACAGCTGTCAAAAATTTTTGGTTATTGGACTGCTTTAGTGAGGCAAAAGTATCACAAATCTCCTTTCCCCTTTTGCTATTGGTACATCACTAAAGTGGTAAGAAGTAGCATACCTTTTGATGAAGATGGATTAAGATATCAGGAAGGGTTATCTTAGGTTCCAAACAAAAATAAACACAAGAAACCAGATCTTATGAACCATGCTTCACAAATTATTTTATACTAGGAATGGTGCAAGAAGTAAAAATTTTTCAGGACTTCCTGCCCACCAGCAAAATCCATGAGATAGTGCATAGGAGTTATATTTACAGAGCATCGTTGTCATTCTCTCTTGCACGGATGATGATAATAGCAAAATCATTTCTGAGGCTGTCACAACACACTTCCCAAACACTGTCTTTTGTTTTGAAATGTTATAAATCATTGCTATAGTCTCTGTAATTATGGAAAGGCCATTCAGGTCAATTATTACTTTTTAATGGGAAAAGTATTTGAAAACACTGAATAATAGTAGGTAAGATGATCTTTTATTTCAGTGTACATAAAACATTGTATTTCTTTTAACAGCAGATTGCTGTCCCCCGAAATGATGAATGGGCACGGTTTGGCCGAACACTTGCAGAAATTAACGCAAACCGAGCAGATGCAGAGGAGGAAGCAGCTGCCCGAATACCTGCTTAGCTCCTGAAAAGGGAATATGTAGCCGTAGTGGATTTGGGGAAGACTCTTAAGTAGATCCTAGAACTATTTGCATGCTTCTGTCTAAATGATAATTAAAAGGAAATTTCGTGGATTAAACTGTGGATTTAATGCAGCAAGCAAATCTTACAAAGTCCTTTTTTATATAACATGCATCTTGTTTTGGATTTGTGTCATTTTTAATGCAGCTGATTGACTTTACAGAATGCAGCCTTTTCTGAATTCTTATACACAGGTGTATATTTGGTATTCTTTTGAAGTCTTTTCAGCTTGTAACACTATATACAGTTGTTTCTAAAGCACAGATTAAGTCAGTTCTACATATTTTTAAATAATCACAATTCCCTCTTATACTGATAATGTTCTCACTAACCATAATATGTAGGAACATTGTTTTTTCTTAGCCATAGCATGAATACATCTATCCAGTTCCATTCTGATATTTTTTTTCTTTATAATTCATGTGATAACAATCTATAAATAAACACAAATATGCTTTAACTTTTCAAATTTTCATTTTGATTTACTCCTTGCAATTAAAATTTTATTAAATTCTGCTGCTTTTATAAAGTATCTTTTTTTCATCTCTTTCTTTAAGCTCCTGTTGTAAGCAGCCACCTCAAACCTCATAAAGCTTTGTGCCTTAAATATACCATATAGTATACTGTAGATCTCCCAGTGCATTATGAGCTGATGTCTAGATAATCTATGTCAGTGACAAAATTTTTCCTAGGTTAATTTTTGTTTTAATCCCTTTTTTCTTTCCATCTAAGATAATTTAAAGAATAAACAGAAAGCTGCCTATTATTTTCACTGATTGAGATTATATGTGAGCCCTCTGAGGCTGAAACCTCTTTTGAGAGAAATTGATTTTGTGGTTGCAGTAACCATGAAGGAAAGTGCTCAAATGAATTTTGTCATTGAATCAACTCCACATCTTGAGATCTGTTACTACAACCCTATCTATAAGCCTGAAAGGTAAGTGGCAGATATCTAAGAATTTGTGTTGCAGTCAACCTGTTTCAGGACTAGAGAAAAGGATTATGCTCAGATACTGAATTTATCCACTTTAAATTGTCCATTTCCTTGATCCTGACCTTTTGTCTTTCCAAAGTTTAACTGTCATTTATTCAACAGCATGAACTTTCCAGGAAGGAAGAGTAGATGCCAGATTTTGAACATTTTTGTTTAGTTTGATTTTCTTAAACTAACAAAGATCTGTTGGGAAATGAATTTTTAAGTAATTTATTCTTAACTATGAGTATTGTATAGTGTGAGGAATAATTGACCTGGAATATTAGACCCAAATTCTAATTCTAGCTCTGGCACTCATGGGAAGTGTGATTTTAGCCAACCAAGTCTTTCCATCTGACTTTTTTATTATCTAGGAAGTTAGGATTAGGATGATTTCTAAATTTCCTTCCAGCTCTAAAATTATTGATTGTAATTACTTCAGGCAGTTCTCTATTTTTATATATTCAGTTTTCAAAAGTTGACACCTCATAATTGCCTATTATATACAAAAGATTTTTTTTAATATCAGCAGGCAAATAAATAAGTTATCTCATGGTGATAATGTCTGTGAGTCAAAAATTCAGTTTAGCAGGGTAACACTGTCTTAGTATAGAATTCATGTAATCACTAAAATAGTTATTGCATTCTTGCCCACCATTTATATAAATGACTAGAAAAAGAGAAAACATAATTATGATTAAGGTTGGAAATCATGAGATGTGGCAAATCCAGCTGCTCATGGGATTCAAGTTGATGTATCCAATTGTGAAAGAATAAAATTGGTAAGTGTTTGTAAAATACTTCTCACCAAAGAGTTTTTGCTTTTTGGAAACAACTTTCCCTCCCCTCCCCAAAAATGCAGTGTGGACCTTTATCTTTGCCCATTTAACTTTAGTCTACATTTTTAAGAACACATGGATTTAATGTGAGGAACTGCCTTTTAAAAGTTGACTATGTAATAGCAAAAAAGAAAGTACTGAGGCTGTCAATATTGATATGAAATCTTCTGACAGATTAAGCTGACTAGAAAAGTGTTGCAGCTCTTCACTCTTTTAGAAATGAAAACCTTATAATTTAAAAAAATACCCACTTACAGGAATTGTACCTTATTTGTTACCTGTTATAGTTTTTTTCTGAGTGGGAAACAAGCCATAGCTTTCTGGCTAATTTCTTGTTTTGTGTTTATTGTTTGGTTGTTTTCTTTTTGAATGAGAAGTTAAAGATTATTGGTTGCCCTCATTTGTGTAGAGGAAGAATACTCAGTTTTGCAGACAATAATTAACTTGCAGTAAACCTCAGAAATACCCATTGTTTAGTATCATTTAAGCCAAAAAAATTAAAATTCATTGGTAGAAGCCATCTTCTGGTTTATTGATCCAGTTCCCTACAAAGTTTAGAAAATCTCTAGATATAAAATATTGTTGCAATGATGCTGAGATATTGCATATTGAAGGAATGGATGACTTAAAATTTAGGAGGAGGAACTAAAGGAAAGTAGTGTTAGGGATGGTCCTTGTCTTTCAATATTGTAAGAGCGTTGATTCATTCTGTTCTGTGCTAGTACTGATAGACTGTAACCTCTACCACTTGAACCACATGGAAAGGAAGGTGCTTGAATGAGTGAATGAAAATCTGTGAAGTGCACAATTTTTCATCTTTCCATTTTGTCGGGCAATGCTTTTTAAACGTCTTTCCCACAATCCTGGTATTTCAACATTGGCATTGTTATATTTTATAATTAGAAAACGGTGTACGATTAAGTACATTGGAGAGAATGGAGCTCTGTTCATAGCTTCAGCTGCTCAGTGGCTGTGAGAACCAAGTTGTTTCAAACATGACATAGCGCCCGAGGTGGTGGTATTATGCCTGAATCTTGGGCATAAGTCTAGGTAAAAAGCCATTGGCTTTGCCTCATTTGATGGTTTAGTGATGGGATTCCCATTGAGATTCCCCCCACACACACCCCGCCCCAAGACAGAGGCAAGAAACTAGTTCTTGCTTTCCTGCTATTATCTTGCCGATTGCTAGGCAGCTAGGGACCTTACAAGTTTGGGAAAAATAACTGGGAGTCTCTCTCTCTTTTTTTTTTTTTTTGGTTACGAGGCATTTGGGATCACAGTTCCCCGACCAGGGATCGAACCCACACCCCGTGCATTGGAGGCACAGAGTCATAACCACTGGACCACCAGGGAAGTCCCAGTAGGAATCTTATTTTTGATTCATTAAAAAAATGCTAGGAAATTATTTACTTAGAGATCTGGTTTACAGGTTCTGGGGGCCTCTAGTGCTACCAAAGAATAGGAAAGTTGCCCCAAAGGCAACAAGAAAAGAACAGCCATGTTCATTATTTCTTTTGAAGTAGAGGATTACAATTAACATTCTTTTAATCAATTTTAATACCCTAAGAAGGTAACAGTTTGCTTGCACTTAATATATTATAATTTTAAAATTCTTTTCACATATAAGAAACACATTTTAGAGAAAGATCCTACAATCCTAACCAGAATGCCAACTGGAAGACTTTGAATAGTCATCACATTGTAATGCTTTTCTCAATAGGACAGTGCTCTCAGACCTTTTCTTGAAATTTAGATGTACAGATTCTCTTTCTGCCTGCCATGTTCACAGTCCCCAAACTTCTTAAAGTTCAAATGGATTTCTGGTATTTAAGTTTTCAGTATGTAGCTTCCAGCCACTGATAGTTTGAACATAGCCAATCAGCAATCTTTTACAAACTTTTCTAAAATTACAGTATTTTGTGTTGTTAGTTTCATAGCAGGAATCTCAGTTTGGGCTTCTTAATATTCCATTACCAGTTCCCAGTCAGAGGATGGAATCAGCTTGCACTCAGGTAAGCTTTCAGAAAAGTCTCTTTCACTTTGTGAGGTCGTTTATTCAGGTCTGTGGTAATGTATTATCTTGCCTCTCTTGTAATGCACTTGATTTGGTTGGAAAGCTGTGGGGCAGTGATTGTGTAGGTGTGGAACACACCCACGTGGTGCTGAACATGCTGAGACCCAACTCTGTGACTCCGGAAATCAGTGTACCACCAGTAAGGCTTTGATGGCGAGTAATTTTATCTTTTGTGAATTTTTGTAGTAGATTTAAAAAAAATTTTTTTTCTGAACAAATAGAAATGCTTTGGATCAAAATCTTTTATACTTAAGGGTGGCTTGGTATATGAAATAAAAGAATACTGGGCTCAGAGGTCCCAAGTTCTATTTCTGAAACTCCCCATTACCAGTAATATCACCTGGGACAAGGATCAGTATTCTCATGTTAAGTGATGAAAATATTTGCTTTCTGTGAAGGTTACATGAGATAGTATATATGTGAACACTTGTATATTATGAAGTACCACACAAATAGGTTTTTTTTTTTTTTTTTTTTTTTTTTAAGAATATAAGAATGGAGAGAGACCATTTTATGTAGCCATCTGTGCAGTGTAACAAGAGCTAATCTAAGGATTAGGTGGCTTGGTGTTCAAGAAAACATTTTTTTAATTTTAAGAAATCACATCACAACTTGAACTGTCAGATGTTTAGGAGTAGCAGTGAACTGAGGGAGCAATATTAATTGTCCTTAATAATACTTTTCCTAGGAGTACTTTCTCTTACTGTACTCTAAGGTAGAATTACAAATTATGCTAGTAGAAAAAAATGACCCACTCAGTTTCCAGCTGATACTCAGCTCTTGCTCTTACGTTAGTTACATACGTGGATTGCAATATCTGGAGCCTTAGAAAAGGGGAGGTGGAACCCCTTTTTCAAATCAAAGAAAACAAGCTTGATCCAGCTACACAGTAGTAGAACTGGAATCAGTCACTTCCACGAAAATCTGGGGAACAGTAGTTACTCAACTGTTACAACTTACGAAGTACCTGTCCGTCTTCCCTAGGGTCAGTCCCCTTGGAAATAAGACAGGCTCATTTTAGGAAGATGGTCACTAGAAAGAGGAGCTTCGGTCCTTGAGGATCTGTGTTTAGTTGCCAGGCGTAGAGGAAGCCCTAAAATTAGTCCTGCAGGAATAGCTTTTATCTAACTCATCTAGATTAGCAGATCTCTGCTGTCCCATTGTATCCGAAATGTGATTTCCAGAAATAAGTCAAAACCTGACTTGTTAGTGAATACTAATTGAGCAAGAAACTTGGTAAAATGACTAGGCCCTTCTTTTTTTTTCATAAATATATTTTATTTGTTTATTTTTGGCTGTATTGGGCCCGTTGCTGTGCGCGGGCTTTCTCTAGTTGCGCCGAGCAGGAGCTACTCTTTGTTGCGGTGCACGGGCTTCTTATTGTGGGGACTTCTCTTGTTGCGGATCACAGGCTGTAGGTGCACGGGCTTCAGTAGTTGTGGCTCGGGATCTAGAGTGCAGGCTCAGTAGTTGTGGTGCACGGGCTTAGTTACTCCACAGCATGTGGGATCTTCCCAGACCAGGGATCGAACCCATGTCCCTTACATTGGCAGGTGGATTCTTAACCACTGCAC